GGAATCACACTCGCGAAGCTTTTAAGAGGCCCTATGCTGCAGGCAGATGCTTCCGGTTGCGAAGGTTTCTAGTCTGACTTATGGGCCCTCGCACTGCAGAGAGCCTGGCCAACCATCATCCCAAAGTCCTGTGCTTGACCCGGGGGAATCACACTCGCGAAGCTTTCAAAAAGAGGCCCTATGCTGCATGCAGATGCTTTCGGTTGCGAAGGTTTCTAGTCTGACTTATCGGCCCTCACACTGCTTGCAGCCTGGCCAACCATCATCCCAAAGTCCTGTGCTTGAACACTCACGCAGTCCGGCTGTCAAAAGAGGCCCGAGGCGGCAAGCAAATGCAATGGGTTGCGGTCGTAGTTTGAAGTTTCACTTTAACCCATTATGAGGCCCACACACTGCTTGCAGCCTGGCCTATAGATATCATCACCAAGTCCTAGGCCTTAGGCCTTAGGACCCAATGCTGTCGGACATCCAATTCAGGACGCACTGCGGGACCACCACCCCACTGCGTTCAAGGCTCTTCCGGAACCTCAGCTTAAGTTGCACAACACGGTTTCAAACTTCGCTTGTGCTCACTCCAAAACAACGGCCTTGCGCAAACTGGAAACATAATGTAGCTCATAACCCAGCTTGTGCTGTCGCTGTTCATGAGGCTTTGGGTTAAGGTTTAGGGTCCAGGCTAGGGTTTACATTCAACAGTCTAGGCTAGGCTAGGCGGTTTAGGGTGGGTTGCCTTTGCTGAGCCAGAGCAATCGACGATTGGACGATTGCTGATTGGCTAGACTAGCTGAAACTCAGACTTCAAAACTTTAGCAAGGCAAAGGCGCAGAGGGATGTATAGAGCAAAGATCAATTGGAGACCGGGCTTGAGGCTGAGAACGAAAACAAGTGTGAATTCAGGCCATCCTTGGGTCGTGGTTTATGATTTATGTGCATGTGATGTGGCTTTGGGCTAGCGTCATCCACACAGGGAACATCATGCAGGGCTGGGCCAGGGCCAGCGTACTGTGGCATCGGTCATGTGGCTGTTTCCCCGTGTCAGGAATTCAAGTAAGGACAAATGATACATGACCCCGAACTATACCCCGA